GTATTAATGAAGGATTTTGAATTGAAATTTTTAGCTGCATTTTTACATTTTCTGCGTCTATTTATGTGAGGATTTTTGACTTAACACTTATTTCTTTTTTTCCACATTTTTCGAGTGTATATATGTGAGGATTTGTAACCTTAACTTAGATTTAGATGTTTAAATTTTCCGTTTGTATTTTTGCAAGGATTTTTAATATAAATTTTTATCTACATTTTTACATTTTCCGCATGCATTTACATTTTTGCATGTATTTGTTCGAGGATTTGGACTTAAAACTTTTTATTCTTTTTCACATTACCGCGTGTAATTTTGCAAGGATTTTTAATTCAAATTTTTTTTACATTTTTAGCGTCTATTTATACGAGGATTTTTGACTTAAATTTTTTTTTCTTTTACCAATTTTCTCGTGTATATACGCAAGGATTTTTAACTTATAAACTTGTATTTACATGTTTACCTTCTTCGGCGTCTAATTATGCAAGGATTTTTACCTAAACTTTGATTAACATGGTTACATTTTCCACGTGTATTTTTGCAAGGATTTTTAACTTTAACATTCAATTAAATATTTACATTTATCGCGTGTATTTTTGCAAGAATTTTTTATTTGAATTTTTATCTACATTTTTACATTTTCCACGTCTATTTATACGAGGATTTTTGACTGAAACGTATTTAACTTTTTTGGCATGTATGTATGCGAGGTTTTTGACTTAATTTTTTAATTCTTTTTCACATTTATCCTCGCGCATTACTGTGAGTATTTTTTACTTAAAACTTGTCTTACATTTTCACATGTATTTCTTCGAGGTTATTGATTTAAAACTTTTTTATTCACTTTCACATTTTCCGCGTGTATTAATGAAGGATTTTGAATTGAAATTTTTAGCTGCATTTTTACATTTTCTGCGTCTATTTATGTGAGGATTTTTGACTTAACACTTATTTCTTTTTTTCCACATTTTTCGAGTGTATATATGTGAGGATTTGTAACCTTAACTTAGATTTAGATGTTTAAATTTTCCGTTTGTATTTTTGCAAGGATTTTTAATATAAATTTTTATCTACATTTTTACATTTTCCGCATGCATTTACATTTTTGCATGTATTTGTTCGAGGATTTGGACTTAAAACTTTTTATTCTTTTTCACATTACCGCGTGTAATTTTGCAAGGATTTTTAATTCAAATTTTTTTTACATTTTTAGCGTCTATTTATACGAGGATTTTTGACTTAAATTTTTTTTTCTTTTACCAATTTTCTCGTGTATATACGCAAGGATTTTTAACTTATAAACTTGTATTTACATGTTTACCTTCTTCGGCGTCTAATTATGCAAGGATTTTTACCTAAACTTTGATTAACATGGTTACATTTTCCACGTGTATTTTTGCAAGGATTTTTAACTTTAACATTCAATTAAATATTTACATTTATCGCGTGTATTTTTGCAAGAATTTTTTATTTGAATTTTTATCTACATTTTTACATTTTCCACGTCTATTTATACGAGGATTTTTGACTTAAAACTTTTTTTCCACATTTTTCGCTTGATTGGAAATTATAATTAGAAGCTAGAAAGAAAAGAAATCGGAATTTTTCGAAAAAATAGTAAAAAATAACCCTGTTTATCCCAGTTAGCGCGCTTGATTGGAAGTGATGAATAGGAGCCAGCAAGAAAAAAATGGAAAATTTTCGAAACAATTGCAAAAAATGTCACTGACTCTTCCTCAACTGAGTGAGTAGATATTTAGTCATTTTTGGATAACGCCAACGTGACCATAGAAGACAATATTTCGGGATAAAATTGTAACACAATTTTCAAATTGAGTGACAGTGTCAAAAATAAAAGTTATGCAAAGCAAATATTTGAATTTGTTTGTTTATAATAAAGAATATATTTATATATATAAAAAAGAATTTATTATTGTCGATGTACGGAACCGTCAAATTACCGTCTTCAAAAAAATTAATATTTTTAATTTTACTTTAGTACATACAAAAAACTTTTAAAAAAACAAGAATTTGCTGATATATCACACTGACTTCATTTAAAGTATTTTGAACGCCAAATCTGAATTTGAGGTCAGAATTTAAAAATTCTAAAACCCAAATCCAATATGTCTTTTCGAAAGTGACCTAATTTGAAATTCGCTTGAAACTGGTCACCAGGGTTGTTTTTGAGAATACTAATTACGAATATGAAGTCAGTTTCATTTGAAACTCGTTATTCGGGGGTTTTAGAGGTCGCTGAATACGAATCTGATATTAGTTTTTTAAAATTTCAAATGTCGAATACAATATGGCGGACAGAAAATTAAACAAGGAGGGGGTCCTTTATGTTTATTTCATAAACATTATGCTTCCTCATTGTGTGAAGCAAAAAATTCGCTTCCTCGTGAAGGAAGCAATGAATTTGTCCAATTCAATTGATTGATTTAAAAAATTTCGAGTTAAAAATGTTTTAAATTAATTAAATTTTTTGAAAAATAAAGAAAATTTTAATTAATTTTGAGTGTAACATAAACTTTATATATACGAATCGATTCGTTTTAATGCAAGGAATACAATTATTTTATTCATCAACTTGTATTTAAAAAAAACACAAAATTTTTTAGCTAAAATATGAATTTTCGATTTTTCAATTTTTATTAATTCTCAAATTTTAAATCAAATCTATACTTTATATATACCAACCAATTCGTTTCAATGCAGGGAATAAAATTATTTCATATATAAACATGAATTTAAATAAACACATCATTTTATAGCTAAAATGAGAATTTTTGATTTTTTAACTTTCTTTAATTCTTTAAATTTCAATCAAATCTATACTTTATATATATCAATCGATTCATCTTGACATAAAGAAGACGATTATATTATATATTACCTTAAATTTTTCGATTTAAAAATTTTTTCAATTAAAAAAAAATTTTTGGAAAAAAGACGATAAAATTTTTTTTTTGGGGTATTTTTAAAAATCCTCTCGTCATTTTTGAGAAATTAATGTGTTAAATAAGCCTACCAAATTTTATCCAAATCCATTAAAACCTGTTAAAGATATCGTGTTCACAAAAACGATCCACACACACATACACACACACACACACACACACACATACATACACACATACACACACACATACATACATCCGGACAATTGATCAGGATCTCATATAACATGTTTCTATATAGAGGAAAATTTGTTTTCACCATTTTTAAAAAGTTTATAAACGAAAGGACTACATAGCTTCCTCCACGAGGAAGCAAAATTATTAAAATTTACTTAAAACTTATTTTTTAGGTGCTTCCGGGTTCGTTATATTCAGTCTGCTGTTAATTTTTCAAAATTCAAAATGTTGGATCCAATATGGACAGGAAAATTAAAAATCAATAAAATGTACTTAAAATTTGTTACTCAGGGGTTTTTAAAGGCATACCTCCACGTGGTACACTCTGAGGTTGTTGATAACTGTCAAACTATTTACTAGCTAACTATGGGGGTGGTATTTGATAGTTATTCAGCGACCCCTGAATAATGAGTTTTAAGCAAATCCGTCAAATTTAGAAAAATATATCCACCATATTGGATTTGTTATTCTGAATTTTAAAAAACTAACATCAGATTCCTAATCAGTGACCCCAAAACATTTAGGACCCACATTTAAGATTTTGATCATCACTGCAAAGGGGTTAATGTTAAGTTCTATAAAAACATGTTATATTCAAATTTCCAGTAAATAATAATTATATGTACATATATTTTTTACATGCAATGGTTTATTTGAAAACGTATTCAATGATTATTTAATTGTTTCTTAATTCTCTCTTACTTGTTCCTTTTTTTGTCTTATTTGAGAAAGTTGTTTATTAATAAATTCATCAGGAGTGTAAAAAATAGGGAAAATTATTATTTATTATTTTAATTGTGTTGCCTTTTGTATAATAAGGATATGTTCATATAAAATCTAATTATTAAAACAATTTAGAATTTTCTAAGGTTATCTATAATTTTTAATTAGTTGGTATAGAGCAACAGGAATGAAGTAAATAAGGTAAGTTTTCGTTAAATATTTTAATTTTTTTATGATAAGATAATTTTTAACTGAAAATAATAATTAATAGGGTACATGTCAACTTTAATTGTTTTAACCTGAAAATAGAAATATGATGTTTTTATGCTCCAATGGAAAACTGGGGTGGTCTAAAAATTCCGGTGAATTTTGAAAGCTAAACAGATGTATTTTAAGAGAAAATGAAACAAATTTGATTTATTTCAAAAAAATATAATTATTTGAAGAGATAAAGTGACTAAAAGTAAAAAAAATTACGCATGGGGAAAATAACTTAAAAATAGATTTAGGGAGGTAAAAATAGGTAAAAAAAATCTGCAATTTATTTTAAAAAAACCCCAGTTTCCATTCTAGGGTTGATTGTACTTTTCATATTATTTAAGCACCTTCAATAATAACGCTGAAGCAAGTAAAATTATTATTTAGAGTAAGGTTTATTTAAAAAATTACTGTAGAGGTTTAATATAAGAACAAATTTATTTGCATACAAAATTTTCCAGTATGAAATAAGATTTTTTAAATAGAAATGATAAATTTGAAAAAAGCAAAGAACAATAAGAAGAATTATTTAAATAATAACATGCCTGCGAAAATGAGTATCTTAAGGGGTGAGTGTGATTCTCGTACATTCTGTTATGTTGAAAACGAATTTGGGTTTAAAAATGATCATGCTGAAGCAATACCATGCTATGTTTTCAAAAATTAAAACCATTTAGGTTTCTAAAATAATTATAAAAAATGGCTAAAATAGACACTTTTTACCAGTTAAGCTAGTTATCAGAAAACCTGACAATGCTGGAGCATTTTCAAGGCCAGATTCGTTTTTAGCACGAAAATGTACATCAATTACCTTCACTTACTTTAGAAACAAAAGAAAAATTTATAGGCTTGTGTAATTTATAATAAAAAAAATTAAGATGATTAATCTTGTGCATCAGATTTCATCTTTCCTAAAACAGAAAATTTTTTATTATTTATGTATTTATAAATTATTAAATTAATCACAAGATATTGTCAGGGCGGACAGAAAAGGATAATTTCTAAATTCTATACTTTTATAGGTTTTGAAGACCATTTAAAAAAAATTCTTGGTTAAAATATAAAATCATTTTGATAAATTACTTATTTCCAAAAGAAATACAAAATATTCCATTTAAATTAACAATTTATGAAAAGAGTAATAGACATTTAGGGTCAGTTGGTGTAAATGGGGACAAAATCGCTATTTTTCAAAAATTACGTAAGTTTCTTTCTTTAAAAGGTAATATTTGCGGGTTTATTTTTTTTAAGTTGTTATTTACATTCCCAGGATTAATTTTACGCAGCAGAAAAAAATTTAGATAAGCTTTAAATGCATGAAACTAACTGTCCCCATTTTTTTTATTTTTTTTTATTTCAGTATTTTGTCTCGCATTTGAAAAAAAACAGACTTAACAATCAAACCAAATTTATTTCTTATTCCTTATGACTCCCATAACAGAAATTCACTTGAATTTTTGATTTTTGTTAATTTGGTTAATAATGACAAGCTGTCCCCATTTACCCTGAGTTTTCAAATTTTTGGGGTAAATGGGGACAGCTTGTCATTATTAACCAACTTGACAAAAATCAAAAATTCAAGTGAATTTCTGTTATAGGAGTCATGAGGAATAAGAAAAAAATTTGGTATGATTTTTAAGTATGTTTTCTTTTAAATGCGAGATAAAATACTCAAACTGTTTGACTTTGATTTTCAAGTTTTTATGCATTGAGCGATAACTTGAATTGTCTTGCTGCTAATTGTCAAGATAAAAGCTTGGCAATACTCAAAACCTCTTGCAGGTGATCTGAGGTTAAAATATTGACGTTCAACTTAATTTTAAAACTGTAAATTAAGCTCCAAAATCTCTTGTCCCCATTTACCCCAACTGACCCTTTATAAATATTTTATAAACTGGAGCAGTCGTACAGTGATCCAAAATAATAGGAAAATGGTACAAGGTAATTTACAATGCATGTTATGTATAGTTAATATAACTATTTTTTATGGAGTTAATAATTAGCAGTTTATTTTACTAAAAATTTTAGTCAAATCAACTGCAAAAACTAAAACAAGTAATTTACTTTTGATCGTTTCTGGATATAGAGTCCTTCTAAGATAACCAATTTGTTGGCTCAAATAATAATTTGCATGGCTCAGTCTGCTTCGTTTCAAATTTTCGTCCTCAGTATCAATATAATTTTCAAAGCATTCTGTAAATGATAAAAATTTCTATTAACAATCACTTTGCTTTTATATATTTTGGTTTGGGAAAAATATAATTTTCCTAATAAAAATACAGAAATGTAAAAAAAAGATGCCCAAAAGTCAAAAAGGAGAAATAAGGATTCATTTTGAAAAAATGGGGTTAAAATTTTTGTTCGAAAAAAATTTATATGGTATGGAAAAATGGTACAAAAAAAATTTAAAAGAATTTTAAGGGCATCAAATTTTTAAATGCTAGAATTTCCACTTCACTAAATACTTTTTTTGTGGAGCTGTGTTATCAATGAAAAAATATTAAAAAATTTTTTTCTCAAAAAGAGCTCCGACGAATTTTTAATTTTCACTTTTCTTTGTATCTAGGGGAAAGAAGTGACTCCTGGACGAAGAGAATAGGTTAATTTTTCAATGAGATATCTAAGAAAAACCCAATTTTAAGTATTTTACTATTTTTTTATTTCTATGGCAAAAATTAAAATTTTTCAACGTTCTTGAGCTCATTGGAATGGTAGTTTGTTATACAATTAAAATTATATAAAACAATTCATCTCTACATTGTTTCTTAGCGTATCCAAACAGCGAAAGGTAGCTCAAAAAATTAAAATTGAACTATACAACAAAATATAATATTTAAAAATCAAGTGAAAAAATAATCTTAAACTTCTCTGATCAATTTAATTAAAATTTACACATTTTACTCATAAATGTTGCCATTTAAATATTAGAGGAAAGTAGGGTAAGGAGAGCTTTTAAATTTCAAGTACCTATAGACTTTGAATTTCGCGGAAATAACTCGGAAAAAAATTTTTGGGATTTTATAAGAGATAAATGTGTGTCGATTTAAATACATAAATAGAAATATAGGTAATAATAAAATTTGTTTATATTTTTATACTTTTTCCAAATTATGGCTTGAGAAAATTCTGCGAGGTAATGGGAGAATTGTGTCAGCTAGCAGAGTTTCGATACCTCAATACTACTTTTCTTAGTTCTTTGAAAATTAAAAAGGATTCATTTATTAAATTTAATATTGTTGCATATTTAATTTCTAAGAATCCATATTTGTGATTTATTGTCTAAAATGCCTTATTATTGGATATTTTTAGGGTTCCGTACTCGGTTCGGAACCCTATTAATATCGGTTTTTTTGAAATCGTGTACCCCCCCCCCTAGCGGCTACACGAATTAATCCAGAGGGCTGAAATTTAGTACACATATGTATTTTTGCGTGTAGATTACAGAAAAAATATAGCGAGCATGATTGGAATTGATTATCATAGCGTTGTCAAGGAAAAACCATGAATTTTTACGAAAAATGCCTAAAAATGACTATGTACCCCCCCCTAGCGGCCACATCTTTTGACATAAACAGCTCAAATTTGGTACACTTATGTATTTGTACGTGAAAATTACAGGAAAAATATAGCGAACTTGATTCGGATTGATTTACATAGCGTTGTCAAGGAAAAATAAAAAATTTCGAAAAAAATGGTTTAAACTCCCTAGTACACACAATATTCAACCCAGACTTTTTATATTTGTTGTATAAATGTATTTTTGCGTGAAAATTACAGGGGAAAAAATGGACGATTGGAGTTGATTTTTCTAGTGCTGTCAAGAAAAAACTGATTATTTTAGAAAAAATCATGAATTTTCTCACAATAACGAGAAACATTTTATCTAAAGGGCTTCAAATTTATTAATTTTACGTTTTTTTATGTTTAGATTATAGAAATAATTTAATAAACATGATAATAAGTGAAAAAAGTAGACTTTTTCCTTAAATTTATTTCTTCAGTAGTTATAACTCTAAAATAAAATAGGGGGTCATGAAAATTTGGCTTCCTCGCGGAAAGAGCAATTAATTTCTTTAACTCATTTAGGTGATTTAAATTGAATTAAAACGCAAAACTTTATAGCCAAAATGTATATTATTGATTTTTTAACTTTCATTAATTTATTAAATTTACCTCAAATGTACCTCATTTACCTCAATGATAAGTAAATTAGTATATAATAATCTACGGAAAAGTACATTTTTATTAATTAAATAGAATAATTAAAAGTAATCAATCACCAGGTTGGTGTCGCCGCTGTCTATGTCGTTTAGCATTGGCTCATTTTGAGTTTCAACAAAAATGTGACTAGGTTTTTTCTGTGTTGAGATGCATGATTAGTTACCACCACGTGGTGCGTCTTGGAAACAATATCATTGAAAGTTGTTTCCTTTAAATGAACAAAGTTTCTTTTTTTAACAAGAATTTTAATGCACTAATATTTTAAAGCAAAACTTGAGACTAACAATAATTATTTCAATGAAATTGGCAAAATACTAATCTTTAAGAGATTTTTTCAAACATATATTAATTACGAGGGGGAATTCACTCAGGTAGTCAAGTGTACACTCTTCCTGTAATACTTGTGTAATAACGTGTAATACCGTGTAATAATGCGTTATTACGGTGCTGTAATAACGCAAAAAACTCTGTAATATCTCTGTAATAATGTGTAATACTCTGTAATAACGTGTAATAACTTAGTAATAATGGTAACATTAGGTGTAATACCGGTAGTCAAGTGTACACGTTTTTAACTAGTAAATTCCCCCTCGATTAATTAATAAACAAATTTTATTTTTAAGATAACTTTCGATTTTCCTTGACAAGCAGCTACTAGCCTTATATCAATATCTTATGGTTTATCACTTTTTTTGACTTAGAAAGATAAAATTTAATATTCAATGTATTTTTATAATGTAAATACAATAAAAATATTGCGAGTTAAAATAAAATTATGTTTCTTATATTTTTTTTGAAAAATATTTTTCATAAAATAAAATCGGACAAGTGCGAGTTACACTCGCACTGAAATCGAGGGTTCCGTACTCAAAAAAAGAATTAAGACATAATTGCAAAAGTCTACTTCAAAACTTCAATAATAAACGTCTTGCCTTTATCAATTCAGATAGGTCGACAGTAAAACTAAGGTTTATTACTCACACAAGAAATTAAGTAATAAATTTGATGGTTTCTGGGACAAGTTGGCATACAAGTATTTGTGCCTAACAATAATTAAACAAGTTTTTAATATGTTAATTGTAGAAATTAACGACAAGTTTGGAAAACAAATAAGAAAAAACTGTATGATTGATTTAAAGATATCGCGCCCGTAGTCTGCGTACTATGTAGTATTTCTTTTTTTGAAATGTATAATGAGTTCGTCAAAGGATATCGGTAAAGTTGACACTATTGCTTAGAGGTTACAGAAGAACTTTAGATCTGCGAACGGAGGATAAAGAGCTTATAGGTTGGCTGAAGGGGACAATTCTTTGAATGGGTTATTTGAAACCGTGGCAACAATAAATTTCTGTTAAACATTTAAACTAATTTAAATTATAAATTTCACTTTAAAATTGAACCCACACAGCATTGAACCTAGCCACGTGTGACGTGGAAAATTTTAAACTTGATGTAGATAAATATCCCTGTTTTACCACTATTTTGTATTTTATAAAAGTATTATCATTTTAATATAATTATACATCATTTTAATGCGTGAAAATTTTGGACACAATTTTTGAAGGACTTAATATTATAAATATATATATATATATATATATATATATATATTATATTCTTAATATTTAATACCTTAAAAAATATTTATGTTAATAACGCATGTTTTTATTCAAAAGAACTTAATTTTAATTGTTTTCAATTTTGATTTTGGTTTATGAAACAGCATTTATGAAATGTTAAAGTTTCTGTTGCTCCTAAGAAATGATTCAAAATTGTTTATAAAATGTGTCTAGTCTTGTTCTTAAAAGGTTGAACAGCATACCTTTTACTACTTTCAGTTTTTTTGGTGATAATAATTTTCTAGGGGACCTATTTGGAATTGGTCTGAGATCTTCTTTGAATTCTAGGCATCTATTGGCTAAACTGTGCCGAGTCCAGATCGCAGTCGCCAAATTCTTTACAAATAGGGAATCCTTTTTTTCTTTTTTTAATAGCTGCCATGTATCTTTTTTTATAAAAACACCATGTCCTAAATGTATCTTCTCCACCTGGTATAGTATAATAAATAAATATTATTTTATAATTGTAATGTTTTAATTAATTTCTGTTACCGACGATATGATTCAGGGACCCCTTGCTTTAAATTCCTTTAAGAAATAATAAATATAAATAAGTATTTATTTAGTCACATAAATCACAATTAATTGAAACCTTCCTAAGAGTGCATAGGTTCACCTACCAATGTACTAATTTGTTATTTATATTTTTATTAAATTATTAATTTTTGTAGGTATATAAAACAGTTTTTTTAAAATTATTAACATAAATTACAGTTATATTGATCATCATTTATGGTAAATACTCTTAAAAAATTATTACTGCGTAGTCTTAGTAAGGCAGTACGGAGAAGAATAAAATTATACGTTTAATTTTTTTTATACGATAATTATACGTTTAATATACTTGACAATTGTTTATAACATAAAGAAACTCATTAATCACGTAATTTAATGAATAAAAAAATACAATGACGCGCGCTTTCTAAACTTCAATATAAAAATTAAGTAATTAGGCAGCAAAAAAGTACTCTTAGGCAATGCGTACTCTTAGGCTACGTTACTCTACGTTCTAATACTCCGATTTTAGTGAAATTTTGGGAAAACATTTTCGATAGTATGTACTTTTGATATATGCAATGAAAAAAAATCTATTTTTTACCCATGAAAAGGTATATAACACCTTAACCTGAAGCTGATTTTATGACTTTAAAGGTTATGAACTGGCTTTTTTTCTGTGATAGTTGGTTGTTTAGCTTGTCGGCCAAGGTCTTTGGTTAGTGTTTGTTGTTCCTAGTTTCTTCATATTTGTTTCCAAAAATTTCTTATAAGAAAATCTTCAAATAAAATAAAGCAAATAACTCAGAATAATTTTTTTTAATTAAAAAAACTATTTTTGAAAAGTCACAACAAGCT